AGTCCATCCCACCCCAGCCCCCAGCCCAGCCCTCCCCGCCACACTCACCGGAGCAGGAGCAGCCCCAGCAGGAGCAGCTGCTGGGGTTTCCTGCCCCAGGGGCTCTGCCCACCAGCCCAAGCAGCCGCAGCGCTTTTCGGGGGGCTCCTCCCGCAGAGGGGGCCCCAGAGCCTTTCAGATTCCCGCTGCCTTAGGCGGAGCTGCACAGTTCATAGCAGAGAGGACAATGAAAACGAAAACGAAAGGGGCAATCCCAGCTGCTTGAGGAAAGCTCTAGAGGCCTCCCATCCGGGAGGGCTGGCAGCCTGCGGGGAATCCAGGTGCTGGGCAGCGCTGGGTGCACCTGGCAGGTTTCCATCTCCATTATCTTACAGGTCTGGAAAGCCCCCACGTATCTCTCAGGTCCAAGTGGGGTGGAGCTGAGCTGGAATAAGGAACGAAACCAGGATGTATTGCTCGCAGCAGATTTCCAGGGGTAAACCAGAAGCAATTTGCTTCTATCAGAGAGGGTGACTCACAGCTCCTCTCACCCACGCAGCTCCAGGAGATGGTGGCTCAGGACACGGTGCCCGTGGGCACTGGTGACACAGCAGGGGCTCCTGCTTCTGGGCTCTTGCAGGCCAGTAAGGCCCTCAAACCTCTTGGGTCCCTGGTCCTAGTGACCACAGAGCCAGAGCAGCTGAAGGGCTTCAAGCCTTCTTTGACTTCTTTTAGTTCATAGGCTGGATTTGATGATCTCAGGGGTCTTTTCCAGCCTCAATAATTCTGCGATTCCGGGACCCTGTTGTCATTGCCGAGCTCGGCTCTCAAGCCTCCCAGGTCCCTGGTCCCAGCAGCAGATTCTGTGAAGTGTTATCCATCCTGGAGGAAGGCTGACTGAGGACACAGCTGAGCCATCTGAACATTCACAGACCCATAGGAGCAGGTGTGATGCTCTCAGAGATGCTGAGGGAGGTGGCTGATGCCATGACAAGGCTTCTCTCTGATCTCTTGGGAAGATCGGAGCAACCAGGAGGCTCCTGATGAGTGGGGGAAGGCAGGAAGGCAACCACCACACACAGCTTGGAGCAGGGTGAGAAGGAGAGTTTGGAGAACCACAGCCTGCCCAGTGTCACCTACACCCCTGGGAAGGTGATGGAGCAAATCCTCCTGGCAATCTGTGCCAAGCACCTGAGGGGTGAGCAGGGAACAGCCAGCAGGGATGGACAAAGGGCTCATTGTGCCTGAGCAACCAGAGATGAGGCAACTGCCTGTGTGGATGAGGGGACAACTTTCACTTCACCAAGCTTTCTCTCACGGCCTCCGTGTAGCCAGACTGGGTAAATACGAGCTGGGTAAGGGGTGACTGCCCAGAATGTGCTCTGGGTCCAATTGCTTTCTGTCCAGCAGTACCTGTGGATGCGGGGAGGCTCCCAAGGGACCCTCACGGTTCCCATAGACCTGCAGGCACCTTGGCAGGGGTCTCTGCAGGCTGCAGTGGACACGCAGCACAGGGATCTTGATTCAGACATGGCCACAGGTCACAGTTAATTGAAGTGTTTGCAAACCCAGAGAGCGGGGGAAAAGGATGGAGAGCCAGGCAGCTGCTGCATGAGCTCCTCTCAAGGTTACCTGAGTTTGTTTCAGTGGCACCTTGGGAACCCCAGCAAAGCCCTGGCAGGGCAGCTGACCCCTGTTCCTAGCCTGGGGAGGGCTTGTGGATCCACCCCACATGCTCTTTGCTTCTCCAGCACAAAGGCTGGGCAGAACATCAAGCAAATCACTTCCCCCTCCTGCACTGGGCTGTCCTGCCCTGGGCTTCACTGACAGCCCTTCTGGCTCCTGTGGGACAGTTGAGGCTGCCCAGCAACCCAGCTGTCTCCTCACAGCTCCTGGAGCAGCCAGGTCCCTCTCCTGCCCCTGCAGCCTGGCCTCCTGCTCTCAGTTCTGCCCTCAGTGCATCAACACCCCTGGGGTTTCTGTCTCTTTCACTTCTGCTCCTAGGCAGCCCTTGCCCTGCAGCTGTTGCCAGGGAGCAATAAAAAGCAGCATTGGAAGAGCCACTTGTTCTGCCAGAGCCTGCAGGGGCAGATGGCAAGGCTGGAGGGAGCTGAGGGGCAGAGCTAAGAGGAATGGCACCTGCAGCTGCTGCTGGGGACACAGGGAAAGCTCCCGTGGTCTCCACCATGTCACGTCACTTCCATGTCACTTTGCTCTTGCACAACCCTCCAGCCACTCCCCCCGCCCCCTAGCCTTTCCAGGCTCCCTGCCATGCTGCAGGTGGGACTGTGGAGTCCTGGGGTCAGAATAGTTTTGGTTGGAAACAACCTTTCAGATCATCCAGTCCAACCATTCCCCTAGCCCTGCCCAGGCCACCCCTGCCCCGTGTCCCTCAGCACCATCTCCAGGGCTTGGAAACCCCTCCAGGGATGGGGACTCCCCCCTTGCCCTGGGCAGCCTGGGCCAGGCCCTGACAACTCTTGCCAGGAAGAAATTGTTCCCCAGATCCAACCTCAACCTCCCCTGGCACAAATTGAGGCCGTTCCCTCTTGTCCCATCCCTTGTTCCTGGGGAGCAGAGCCCAACCCCCCTGGCTCCAACCTCCTCTCAGCAGCTGCAGAGCCAGCAGGTCTCCCCTCACCTCCTGCTCTCCAGGCTGGGCACCCCCAGCTCCCTCAGCTGCTCCTGCTCACACTTGTGCTCCAGCCCCTTCTCCAGTTCCCCTGCCCTTCCCTGGACACGCTCCAGCCCCTCCATGTCCTTCTTGTCCTGAGGGGCCCAGAACTGACCCCAGGATTCCAGGTGTGCCCTCCCCAGTGCCCAGCACAGGGGGACAGTCCCTGCCCTGGTCCTGCTGGACACACTGGTGCACAGCTCAGGGCAGAGCAGTGGTTCTGAGTTCAAGAGCTGAGCCTAAACTCAAGCAATGAGATTTGAATGTCTCCAGTGGAGGCTGGACATCCACGACATCTGAGCTTGCCTGGAAATGGAGAGGCCAGTGCTGCCCAGTGCCTGTGCACAGCCAAGAAGGACCAGGAGCACCAGAGCAGCAGCTCTGACCTCCCTGGGCTGTTGTCTCTCCGACACTGTGTTTCCAGCTTGTGCCTTGACTGAAGTTTCATTTTCCCCTGCTTGCTGTTACCCCCTGCAGGGCAGGGAGAAGTCATGTATGATGCCAAAAGATTTTCAGATGCATAAAGCTCCACCAGCAAACCACCTCCCCAGACCAGTCCCATGGCCCTTGCAACCAGGCTTGGTGCTGACACCTCTGTCTGAGACTGAGTTGAGCAAAGAAATCAGCTTTTTGCAGAACAATCTCTAGAAGGCACCTGCACTGCAGCCCCCACTGTGTCACAGGCATCGTGACCCCCTCACACACCTTGTGCCACAGGCTTTTCCAAACCAAAAGCAGCTGGTGCTGTGCTTGCTCATGGAGGCCACCACGTGTGGCAGAGTGACACACGGGGTGTCCCCACCCTCCCCACACCCCGTGTCCTGGGCCGTGTGTTGCCTGGGCAGTGTCCCACCAGTGCACCCCACCAGTGCACCCCACCAATGTTCCTGATGCAGACAAACCACAGCAAAGCCACCTCCTTATGTTATTGGAGATGTCCCTGGTCACCTGCTGGGGAACTGACTCATCAGCACCAAACTAGGTAGCACTAACCTGGTAGCACTAACCAGCCTGGACCTGCTGGTTTCCACATGGTTCCTGTCAGCAGAGATCATAGAATCACAGGGGTTGGAAGGGATCTCTGAAGATCAAGTCCAACCCCCCTGCTTTGGGGCGGGGGGGTTGTTCAGCAAATCAGTTTTGTTGTGGGACAAAAGAGGTTACAGTGGGGGAGCCAGGGAGGTGTCCTGGCCAAAGGCTCTCTTTTGTCTCCGGATTTTGCAGGCTCCTGATCTTCCCTCACCAAGCCCAGGGGAGATGGGATGCCTTTCCAGGGATGGGCCCAGTGGGAGAGATCCTGGGCCTTGCCCTGACCCCAGGCTGTGACCCCTCAGCAACCCTGAGGGCAGCATGGACCATCCCTCCATCCTGGGACCAGGGGCTGCTCTGAGGGCTGCAAGAGCCTTATATCCACTAAGGTCCTTCCTTCCTTTGTGGCACCAGAACCTCCTGCCTAACAGGGCGTTTTTACTCACTTTGTACACGTAAAGTGCATCAATCTGTGGTTTCTGCAGTTCTCTTTGGATCCCCTGCAGCATCATGTGGCACTAAGGCCTCAGTCACATGGGGGGTGAAGTCATTGCTGCTTGTTTTGAAGGTGCTTTGTGCTGTTCTCAAGCTGGGAGAGACAAAACCACCCAGCCCTTTTCCTTCTTCCCAGATCACTGATGGCTTCAGACCTCAGCCATCTCCTTCCCAGGCTGCAGCATCTCAGCTACTCACTTGTTCTTCTCAAAGAAGCTCTTTCCTACTTGACTGGGCTGCTGAAAATTCTTTCAGTAGCTCCTCCAGGTCCTGTCCAGGTCTGACTCCTCCAGGACACATTTAGCTGCCCAGAACACAGCACAGATCCCTAGGGGTCTCCTGCTGGGACCCCTCCACTCACACAGATGTGCTCCTGCTC